CATTTGCATGAGGCAAGTACATATTGTTCGTATGAGCTCAAGATAGCACAACACTCAGCCGGAGTGAGAGGAGGGGAACAATTGCCAGTTTGGGAGCCTAAGGGAGATTGTAGGCTAGTGAGAGGAAATGCAAAGGCTAGAAGAAGTGAGGCTGGCGTAGGGGAGTGATCCGCCATAGCCCCCAGGCTATGAGGCAAAAAGGAAGGCTAGAGAGAGTCCCCTTAGCCCTCCTAGAGGGGAGGACTCCATAGCCTTAGTAGTAGAAGTTTGCCATAGCCGAAAAGAGACTGAGGAGAGAGAAGGATGAGGGTTTGAAAACGAAGGAAGCCATAGTTGCGTAACAATTGTGCAGAGAGAAAGAAAGCCTCATCAAAATTGGCATCTCAACTTCAAGACAAGAGGACAGGACGAACGGTGAAAAAGTTATGACCTCACTTGGTGGAAGGAGAGGGCAAGGGGAGGATTGTCGGTCCCTTGTGCCACCAAGAAGAAAAATAAGAAGGTGTTTGAGAGTTTGAAGGTTGACAAGTCTAAAAGGAACTAGATAGAATTGTTGAGTGAAAGCAAGGTCAGTGTACTCAACTAGCACCCTGACTGCATGACTAAGAGAAGAGGATGGCTTGGACAGTGGAAGAAAATGAAGAAGGAAGGAACCAAAGGACAAAGGAAATTAGGCTTACGAGAGGGATTATGTGTTGACCCCAAATGGGGGTTGTATTTGTCTTCATTGTACTGAGTGTGCAGTTGAGTAGCTTTTAAGGATGCCTTGAGTTGGATTGTGCCCGGATAGGTTGGGCGGCAAAGAAAAAGGGGGAACAAAAGTCAAACGGGTTGTGAACGTTACCCTCCCCCATGAATGAGTCCTTTTGTGCATATGGTCCTTATTGTGAAGGAAAGAGGTGGTCTGTATGGTTGAGGTCTGCAAAAGTGTGGGACGGTCGAGGCGGCCGCCGAGTCATATGAGCATGTGGGTGGGGACCCCAAAAGAGTAAGGGGCGCATAGGGAAGTGACAAAACATATTGCATGATGTATGAGATAGAGAAGGCTAACGCGTAGACCAGCTAAGAGGATTTGGGGCGTCCCCTACCTCGATGAAGTCGTAAGACCATTGCGTTTAGCGAATGGATGCGTGGCCCAAGGAAAACTTGGCCTACGCATAAGAGAAGGGAAATTCTCGAAGAACCCCTGGACTGCTTTAGTATTGGAAAGAGCAACTGCCTACGAACACAACAAAGTATCGAGGAAAGGATGATTGCGAGAGATAAGTAAAACTACCCACCTAGCGGGAAAGCTGAGCTACATCCTCAATGTCAAAGCTCTCTCACTCTTTGGCCCACCCACATCCATCTCAAAGCACTAGGTGGGGGTGACTCTGTGACGAATGGCTCCGCGCCCAGAGCATGAGTGTAGGCGGAGCCGAGCCAACTGAGACTCACAGAAGGGTCGGCTATGGCTCGAAAGTCTAACAAGGTGGGGCACTACAAAATTGGTGGAGATGTCAGGTTGGGGGTTAAATTGACCCTTGCCATTCCGGAGGGGGTGCCCGACGCGTGATCGTGTACATAACTGAAGAGGAAAGAAAATGGACTTGGGCTTCCTCTTTCCCTTGAGAGAATTCAATTTGAAGGTGGCTGGGCGCATGGCATGGTCAGGCTTGGAGGTATAACATGCATGATTGCACACTTGATTAGCTCGCTCGTTTTTGGGGAGTAGCTCTAGCTTCCTTCTTCTGGCACCGGTGCTTGCCAGTCTGGAAAGGCATGTGGCAAGTCGCAGGTCGACCCTTCCTCTTCTTTTGAAAGAGGGGTTTCGATTACCTTGCAAGCGGTTGGTGTTCCGGTTTCGGCCGGGGTCCAATAAAAATCCCACGGTGGAGTGATTTGATCGGCTGGGTGTTCTCCAGTATGCTTCTTCTGGGCCCAGCGGGCCCCTTGCACTAAAACACTCCGAATTGTTTGAAACCATATGAAGACAACGACCATCTAAAAGGAACAATCCTGCCCTATGAAACGACAAATGAAGGAAGAGAAAAAAGAATGAAGGGAGTTGCTAAACTCTTAAGAAAACTAGCTCACCCTTGAAGATGCTCACGAGAAGGAACCAACCACTGTGTATGGATGGATAAGGGGAATGACGCACACTGTCCTAAGAGAGAATTGCAAGGCATGGGTAGGATGCGCTGGGTGCACCAAGGGAGAGGCACTTCTTTATGTATGTCCCACTTGGGACTTATGATTGCTTGAAGGGGAATTGAGTGTTCTGCCTGCGGAAAGAAGGGAAGGAGATTTGAGCCTTCTGGGGCCGGTTGCGAAACGCCGCTTCCCATAGGTGGTCCTTTTTGTTTCATGTGCGGCAGGGTGAGCCACCGAGCAATTGACAGGAGTTGGTCTCTTCAGGTTGGCCAAGAGCATTCACGCTAGGGAGGGTCGAGCGTCACTTGCTACCTTGTCTGGTGGGGTGCGAAACGTCACCTCGGACGAGACAGTTGTTGTCGGTTGGCGAAGGAAAGACCACCGCATGTGGAGTGAAGGGGGTACCTTGGGGACATCCAATAGCTTCCCAAAGTACGACATGGAGAAAAATGAATTCATGATGGTCCAAGGGATGTGAATGCTCGGACTGTGAGCCTCGACTCCTACCAGCGGTGTGCGGGGTGATTCCCGATATCGAAGGGGACGTGCAAGAGCAGCAAGAAGGGATAGGGTACTTTGGGCAAACGAAGAGGGGTGATACCTGTGCCGGAGTTGAGGTACCGCGCTTGCAACGGTTGAGCTGCACTTGAGGTATGGGATAAAACTTTGCTGAAAGTTAAGCGGAGAGACCACATTGGAAAAAGTCGGTGAGGAGATGACCAGCCTGTATGTGAGATTCTCTGCATTTTTTTTTTTATAGTAATCCTCCTCTGTAAAGCTTGGTTGAGATATCAGCTGTTGGGCAGGGCCACAATTTCTAGTATGTTCCCGCCTCCGATCTAAGTCCGCACGAGTGAGTGAAGATCGTGAGAAAGAGGATAGAGGTCAATTTGAAGAACTAAGAAAAGGAATATGGGTAAAGGGGACCGACCGAGGGTATCAAGGGAAAGAGGAAATTGGGAATCGGGAGGTAGATTATGCAAGACCTTGATGGGAGGTCTGAAATAATTCTCATCTAGGATATAGACTGACTAAGCCTCGCGGCGGGGTCAGTGTTAGATTGAGGAAACAAGGATCGGGTCCTGGAACCGAGATGGTGTGGTGGCTATCGTCTCCTATCTATTCCAGTGGAGCGGAAATGCCAGTAGATGTAAGGGATAAGGTTTTCATCATCCTTCTTGAAGAAGGATCCTGGACGGATCTGGAGCCGGCATATCAGATTGTGATGTTAGGCGAAGGAGATGTCTTTCTCTCGGTAAATACCTTATGAACCAAGGTCAGCCTGACACGGCTGATGCCAAGCCTGACTGATCTGGAGTCCGGGGGGACAGTGGACGCCCGAGGATGGATTTATCTTTCCCAGGAAGGGGAGAACGCGATGGTTGTTGACATAACATTGGGGATAGTCTCGTACAAACTGTTTAGGCAGGCGAAACGAGAGGTAGTGTGGGCGGCGTGTCAACGGGCAAAAATGAAAATGGATGAGATAGACGTGCGGGTGGAGCTCGGGGATAATGAAAATGTGAGACAACCACTTAGAACAATGAGATGTGTGTTGCCCCCGTTCCTGGTAGATGTGGTCTTCGAGACCCGAAGCAGGCTAGTTCATATATGTCAATCCATGACAAACCTCGGAATGTACGAATGCGCTAGGCAGGATTTCTTTCGACTATTAGTGGAAATGGGGCCCGTCGAAGGCAAATGGGCGAGGGAACTAATTGAGATGCTGAATTACTTTAGCATGGATGACGTGTATGTCCCAAACCCTACGCATTGGAAAATAGTTTACTAGGAGAAACGTTCCCGGAGTTGTTCCATGAGAAGAAGGATGACTTCATCGACGAAGAGGAGGAGGACGAGATAGAGGATTGGGATTTTTTAGAACAGGGGTTCACGGGCAAGGGTGGAATGGGTGGTTGGTCCTGTGCAGGTAGCAAGATGGCTAGGGAACAACGCCTGAATGACCGCATGTTTAGAGGATGGAGACCAAGACAACTCAGAGGGGGAGTAGAAATGTTTGTACCTTCAAGAAATGAATGCGGAAAAACTATTTGTGACTGGGTCGGATTGGAAATCGCATCGGAGCTCTCGTATCTATGGATAAAACGAACATGAAACCCAATAAGGGAAGGAGGAGGATGGGATGAAATAGTTGAGAGGAATGTGGAGTCCCTCAGAAAAATCTGCTTGTCGCAAAAGGGTTGACATCTGTTTTGCGTAACGTTAGTGTCCGAACATGACCCGATGTGGATCTTAGGAGAAGATGAGCAGTGGACTGGAAACGAGGCAGAGAATTTTACGAACGAAGGTTGGGACGAGATTAGGGACAGGGTCGTAATGGGAGGATGGGAGGAACTCGGGTTGTCGTGCCAGTCAACCCAGGTCTGGGTGCCGCACTCTGTGGCAGATTGGTTCAGAGGGTACAAACACATATACAAAGTAGCGGAATCTCTAGACGAGGTACACCTCGAATTCTCATGTTTGTCTGAATTTTATAAAATCTCGTTGGAAGAAGGGCCTTTTTACGACGAGAGCGCCCAAGAGGTCCTCGCCATCTTGAGAGTCGTCCGGGACAATCGGACCAAGGTGGATGACGAAACAAGAGATTGTATACTTCGCCGCGAGGTAGCAACGACCCCCTCGTATGTAGGCAACGTATTCTTGTTGTTTGAAGTTCTATGGTTTTGACTGGAAGGGACTAGCGCCCAAGCAAGTAGGGCGCCAAAGAAACAACTAGAGGGTCATGGCATGTAGTGAATAAGAGCGAGACGAGGGATGGGTATACATTATGGGGAAATTGCTGTGTAAATTAAGGAACACTAAGACAAAGGCGTGCAAAATTTTCTGGGTACAATTGTTGGACGCAGGCGGGGAAACAGGAAGTCGTTGTGCGATGGCTCGAAGACGGACGCTCTGGGAAGACAGGCCACTCGGGATCCTGCTACCACACGAAACGAATGGCAGGGTAGAAATAAGCATGCCTGCAAGGAGTGGGGTGAGTAACCCGGTAATGGACAGGGTGGGTATAGAGATTGTGGAGGATGCAGTATACTTGATAGTGGAACTAGAATGGCATGCGAGTGGCGAACTCGGTGGCTGGAATCTGGATCTCCAGGGGCGCGTTCATGTTAGAGGAACATTGTACCTATCGGAGGAAGGCTGGCGTACCTTTGGGATCACCTCGGCATCTGAAGACGACCTCTGTACATGTTCGAAGGAGCGTGGCAGTTAACATGGCGGGAGGGGTCAGTGTTTGCAGAGCTCACGTTGGATGACGTAACAGCAAAACTAAGAGACACTATGGCTGGCACCTTCACCTTGCCAAGCGAAAACGTACGAATGAGGTTGCCGCCTTTCTTATTACAACAAATGGGTGGCGTGGAACGCATTTGGCAGGTGGTGGTAGCACTGACTGGCTTAGACTTCGAGGGGGCCATGATATACCGGGAATACTACCGGGCCTTTTGAAAAATGAGGCCATTTGAGGATTACAGGAATATGAAGTGTTGCGTGTACTGCGCGTGACAATAACAACAAGGCCGAAAATTTCATTAATCAGTGACGAAATCATGTGGGGCGTCATTAGGCGAGAAGTAAGCCGCAGACTGACCAACATAGACGACGTGTATCGGCTGTTCGAGTCACCAGAAGAAAAAATTATCCAAGGGATGAACAAGAGAGAGATAATGGTAAGAGTCAAGGCAAGAGAAACGAAGAACCAATGAGAAGGAACGTAGGGAGCAAGGGTTCAATTGCATAAAGAAAGATGGGCTATATTCATTTCTCTCTGGACTATGCAAATGGCGAGCCGTAACCTTGGGAAGAATCAGCGCCTTCATGATGGTGGAGTGGTTGTTGAGCGGCATGAGATTCAATCGGGGACACGAGGATGATTTGTATACCGACCTTAGGGTAACCGGAACCTACACGTACCTGAGATCGGGTGACATTTGTTAGGGATTGGGATGGCCCAGGGGCATGGGCTGTCGCTGTTTTTTCAAAGGGTTGCCCGAGCATTGGCACGAATAGGTTAGGAAATTCAAGGAAGGAGGAACGTAGGATTAAAGATCGGGGTGGAAGTAGGAGGTTGACGGCGGATTGCGGTGCCAGGTGCCCCGGTTCATGATAGACCTAATCTTCATAAGCCTCTCAAGGGCAATGGAGCTAGTAAACATGTCCATAATTTGGGTACACCACTTTCAACCACAAACAATTGGGATCTCTTACGACGTATCGATAGAACACGGACCGTTCTGGGGAAATAGGGCTTGGGAATTGCTTAAGCTCATCGACATTCTGGTGTTTGGGACCACGGCTGGCTTATTCAGACTGTGAACCAATAATCTTAAGGGAAATAGAGATGGGGGAAAACTACCTTGTTGAGGTGGCACAACTATTTGCAGATCCCGCCGAACAGGCAGAACCTGAGGCGCAGGTGTGAAAAATACAAAAAGGGGTGCCTAATGAGGATGATATGCTACATATTACTGAGTAAGGACAGGGGTAATTCTCATTAAAAGGGGGAAGGAGTAGGACGGCTAGGGAAAATACGAGATCGATAAGAGGACCTAAAAGTGTGGAGCTCCTGACGATTGGCTGCAGGAGCCCTAGAGATGGCTGCCCAGCGACTGTCGAAAGCCCGAAAGAGGTACGTGCTTTGTCGAGGGAGCGACATAATGGAGGATCCATACGAGGTAGAAAGGAGGTACCAATTGGCGGGAAATCGGTCCTAGAAGGGACGTGAAACCCCGAGATGGAGGAACAAGAGATTCTACCTGTCCTTCCTACATGTGACACTGGTACGGGAGACCATTGAAGCGGCAAGGCGTAAAGAAGACGAGGAGGTATACAGGGTAGGAAGAACCCAAAGGAGCAAAAGAGTGGAGGAGGACCCGGTTGGACACGACGTCAGGCGGTTCATGAGTAAACAATAGTTTTGAACTTTACTGGGCCGTCGTGCTATCGATATGTGTTCCTCGACGAGGTGTATAAGGAGGTGGCAAGCTTCTCCTTTTACCTATCCCACGGGGTCTCTCGCCCCAGAATAGTAACGATTGTTCTTCAAAGGGTTTGCATGACCAAGGAGGAGAAAGAAGACTCGGTCTTTCTGAGAATCTCCGGACCTATGATGAAGGATGCAGCTCAAATCGAGTCCGAGCTGCTTTACTGGTTCGACAAAGTCATGATGGCTTTCTGCAGGATGATCGCAAACAGATTTTGCATCCGGACAATACACGAGGATCGGGGAGCGGCCAGGCCACCAGTAGAAATGGAAGGGTCAATAGCCTTTTGGGCCACGACAATGACCGGTGTGTTGGAAGACTTTGGGTACAACCCCTCGGTCTATATGAGCTCGGCTGGAATGATCAACATCCGCAGCGGGATGCCACTATCCAATGTGTCGGCACCCTTGTACCAGTCAGAGACGCGACCGACACCAGAATAATTCAGGGGGTCGGGGCTTCCCCCTCTGCTTATACGGGCCGCAAAAAGACCATTCTCGACACCGAGGAAACTGAAGGGGCGCAAGGGCTTCGTGGAATTTAGAGGGAAAGCCACCATAGGAGGAGAACTACTGGAATCGCTCCTGTGGCACTTTGAGCAAGAAGGTAGCATTGGATGGGGAAGCCCCATGCCACCAGCTCTCCTTAGTGACGTGTATCAGTTGATCATCCATCACCTCCTCATGGTGCACAATACCACTATGGAATGCGAGAGTCACTGTAATTAGGAAAGGGGTCATTCTCGGCTGGGCCAACTCCTTCGTGACGGGTGCGAACCCTACCTACCCACCCGGAGCAAGGTCTGGGCTTCCTTAAGTACCGAACAAAGGCGCGACCTCAGGGAAGAACCTTGGAGGGATAATGGCTGAGCTCTTGTTCTATTTGAGTAAAGATTGGGAAAGGGTTAGGGTAACCATTATTGCTAAGAATGTCGAGATTGTCCTTAAAAAAAAGAGGAAAATGTTAACCCTGAAGAAAAGTAGGGAGCCGCTTCGTCAGGACATACAACCTGAGATTCTATGCACATTGTATTGGGTATTGGGCTGGATCAATGAGCTTACCGAAGGAGCAATCGAGTATTATTCCTTAGTCCGATGGGGAGACAGACCTACCACGATCTTCGCGAGGGAGAATGTCGAAGGCGGAAGTGGGGAGGTTATTCCTCGATGAGGTGAACAGTAAGATTTAGGATATAGAAATCCTAAAAACCATGGACAGCCTGCCCCTAGGAATATTTTTTTTTGCTATGTGCAAGATTAGGAAAAATGGCAACGGAGGACGAGGCAGGGGATCGAGGAAGCAAGGGAGGTCAAAATGAAGGAGAGAACGTAGAGTAGAACAAGGGGGCTCTGAGGGATCGGGAGTGAGCCCGAAAGGTTCCAAGGAAGAGAGGAAGGAAGTTACGACATGGGAGTGCTCCGGAAAAACTGGATGGAAAAAGGGAGGGATCCGAGGAACAGGGGGAGATAAGGAGAAAGGTGGTCCGACGCCACGGGCGTCAGAAGGGGCGTTATCAAAGATGGTAAGGCTGACTGACGCACGAAGAAGATTGGCAGATATAGACAGAAGGACGACCGAGTATAAGGGGATTTTGTCGGGCAAGGCAACATGAAGAACGAGGAAATGATGAATAAGAGTATAGGGGATTTTGTCGGGCAAGGCAACATGAAGAACGAGGAACGGACCCGGGCCGAGGGAACCAGGATGAAATTGGACAAGGGAGAAAAGATAGGGTCGGGGAACCCAGAGGAACACCTAGTAAAAAAGGGAAGGAGAGGACGAGGTCCCCAGAGAGGGAGGTAGAAAAGGCTACTAACCCATCGGCCATAGACAGCAAGGCAAGCCGGCCAGCGGCCCAACAATGGTCGCAAGGGGGTGCGAGGGACTTTGGAGCTTAAGGGAAAGGGTGTTTGCAGCGGGCCTTCATCTGCCCTGGCCTACAGCCAGGGCCTATTTGGCTATTTGCCAGTTCGGCCTGTGGGACCAGGCCGTGGCCTGACCCCACAGGCCGT